GGGGATTCCTCCCTTCCCTTTGACTGGGGGGTGTTTCTTTGTCTTCCCATTATTCGTGAGACTCTTCTTTTTTGCTTCTGTTTCTTAAATTGATCTGCCTTGATTTTCTGACTTTGTGATGTGAACTTCTATGGCAGGTGACCGCTGGTTTTTCCTTTCTGGATCTGCCTCTGATGATGTCAAATATTGCCCCTGTCTGATCTTAGGCAGTCTATTCAAGACTTCCAGGAATCTACAGTCTGTGGCTGTCTCCTTCAGTTGTTAATCTCTTCATTCTGCACTCAGCAGGCAGGCTTAGAGACACCACAGGGTGGGACAGAGTCTCTCCTGGGGGCGGGGTTATTGGATCCTCTCACACTGCTGCCGTTCAGGGGAGTGGTCTGCCTGAGCCAGATGTCTACTGCTGTATGGGGGACGAGTCAGCTCCAGGATCCTGCCTACTCTCTCTGTTCTCTCCTCCATCTCCTGTCTCTCCTCAAGTGCCTCTAGACCACTCTGTGCCCCCTTTAGCCAAGGATCTACTATCTGTGGCTACCAATCTATACTCAGCTGTCAGGCTTTAGCACCACTGGGCCAGGGTCAAGCCCCTCCTGGGGGCTGGGCTATTGTGCCCTCTCACGCTGCTGCCACTCAGGCGCTGCTGCCACCAGATGGCTGCTGCTGTATGGGGGATGAGTCAGCACTGGATCCCGCCAGCTACTCTCTCAGTTCTCTCCCCAAAGCCTCCTTCCCCAGTCTCTCCTCAGGTGTCTCTAGCCCACTCTGCCCCCACCTTTGGCAGAGCCCAGGGTAAGTGGCTACAAATAAAAATTTATGCACTGGCCCTTTAAAAGGCTCTTTGCATCTCCAACCACCTGTCTCTGGCAGAGAGCAACCCTGCCTCTTTTTGCAACTGGCTGTTATCTGTGTACTTTTTGGGCTCTGGTCCTATAGGCTGGAGATCCCACTCTTCTCAGGGGGATCCAGCTGACCATTTCAATATCCTCCTGGTGCTGCTGCCAATGGATCCCTGGCCTGCCTTCTCAAGTATGTAGTTAGGTTGTGCTAAAGCTTATTCTTCTGTCTCTCTGAGGTTATAAGGCTTCTCTCTCACTATTGTTCAGTTGTTTGTTCCAGGTGATTTCTCCACAATTTAATTTATTTTCAGATTTGTCCTGGGAGGAGGTCAGGGTGACTTCCGCTCTCTCCTCCACCATCTTGATTTCTCTCTGTTATTCTCTTCCTTGATTTATTTTGACGGAATACATTACTCAGTTTTAGTTCATCATGAGTTAATAGGAAATAGACTTTTTGAGATCATAAATGTCTTAAAATGTTTTTCAATTTTCACTCGTGATTGACAGTTGGGTTGAGTGTAGAATTCTAGATTGATATCACTTGAAGCTGTTTCTCCATTGTCATCTCTCTCTCTCTCAAAATTTGTAGAATTTTTTCTTTGTTCCACTGTTTTAAAATTTCATAATTATGTGCCCCATTCTAGGTTTATTTTAATCTACTGTACTGGCTACTCAGGGGACCCTTTCAATCTAGCATGTCAGTTTGAGGGAATGTTCCTCAATTATTTTGTTGATTATTCCCTCCTCTTTGTTTCTCCGTTTCTGGAGCCTACACTACTTAGGCATTGGATTTCCTGGATTGGTTCTTTTTTTTATATTTTTCTTTCATTTCCAATATTTTTGTCTTTTTTTATGTGTGAGTGTGACACTTTGGGAAATTTCCTCAACCCTCCTATTATTCTTTTTAACCTTCCAGAACACATTTTTAACGTATGTGAACATTTTCCAATTTTCTGAAAATCCCTTTAAAAATAGAATGTTTTAAAATGAATGCAATATCTTCTCTAATAACATTGTTTAATGCTTTCTCTTTTTGCATGGTCTCTGTTCTACTAAACTTTTTTTTTCTTTTTCTTTTTGCTTTGGATCTTGTGTTCTATACAGGATTGAGCATATTTTTGTATGTTTAGAGGCACTTGTGTTTCCTATTCTGATTACTGTCAATCCCTAGTCAGTGCTTTGGGATTGGCAATCATTAGAATTTGCATGAACTCAGGAAAATAGGCACTCTAAAAAATCTTGATGGAATGTAAATCTATAACACCATTTTTGTAGAGCAAGTAGTATTTCTGAAAATTTTGAGAGGAGGGAGAGAGAGTGGGTGAGCAAGCTGTCAAGTGTATGCCTGAGTTCCTGGCCCAGTACTGATGTGTGCATGTGTGAGAGGAAAACTCTGAGAACAGAAGAACCATCAGAAAGTCGTAGGGTGAACAACTACTGAAATTCAAACAAGCCTGGCAATAGTTCATGGTCTCACCAGACATAGTGAAAAGACCTCATTATAGAAAACACAATAGATAGAAACCTCCAAAGAATGTTGTCCTAGTATAAGACTTAGACTGGGACTAATTTAACTCTTGACTCATGACTCCTCTGAAAGTACTATGAAAAAGCTTTAAAGTAAGTGTTGAAAGCATTTAACTAACTTCAAGTAACTTACCTGTGTGCCAAAAAACTAATCACATTTAAAGGAATACAACAAACTCCAGAGATGATAGAACTAGCAAAAATAAAAGCATCTACTATAAATATACTCCATATATTCATGAAGGTCTAGAAGAAAATATAAGCATGGTAAGAAAAGGTACCCAGCCATGTAATATGAAGAATAGAGACATTTATTGAAGAAGATACAAGATGTAAGAAACATTGTACATAGGACAATGATGCCTCAGTCCTCCTCAAAGTTGGTACCTTGGGACCTCACATATTTCTCCCAGTCATCGTCAGCTGCCCCATTGTATTTTTCTGAATTTGATCTATGATCTGAAATCTCTTCCCTTGCAAAGGTGATTTTAGTTTTAGGAAAAGCCAGAAGTCTGAGGGTGACAAATCTGAGCTGCTGGGGGGCTGAGTCACCTGAGTGATTTGATGTTTCACCAAAAAACTCTGCACGAGATGTGATGCATGAGTGGGTGCACTGTCCTGATGAAGTTGCCAATCACCAGGTACCCATAGCTGCAGCTGTTTTTGTCATATTGCATCTCTCAACCTACAAGGAACACGGAGGTAGAACTCCTTATTAACTGTTTGGTCTGGAGGGGTGTACTTAGGATGAACAACATCTTCCCAATCAAAAAACACAGTTAACATGGTCTTGATCTTGCTGCAAATTTGCCACAACTTCTTCAGGTGTGGAAAACCAGGCATCTTCTATTGGGACAACTAACTGGGCCTTTGTTTCCAGATCATTGTTACTCTACCCACCATTCATCTACAGTTATGACCTTCTTGAGGAAATCTGTTTCATTGGTAGTGATTTGAATCAAGTCATTAGCAACTGCAACATGGTGTTCCTTCTGCTCTGGTAGCAGAAGCCAAGGAACGAATTTCGCCACAACACATTTCATGCCAAGATCCTGTATCAGAATCTTGGACACAGTAGTTTTTGGAATCTGTAGATCAGCTTCTAGTTCTCACACTGTCTGTTGCTGATCTTTGTTGATTGCGACCCATACACATTGAACGTTCTCATGTGTTCTGCTTGTTGCCAGCCTTCCAGAATGTGGATCACTTTCACCAGGTTCTCAACCATCTTTAGAGTGTTTTTGCCACACTTTTTTTGCACTGCACTCATTGTATCATCCCTGAAAGCCTTCGGAATCATCCTAATAGTTTCCTCAGAGGAACGTTCAAGCTTAATGCAAAATTGGATGCAGGTTCATTGCTCTACTTGCTCAGTCATTTTGAATGTGACGGCCACACAGTACACATGCTCACTCAACAGCGTCTACCACTCCCACTGACTAGTACAGTGGAGTTGTCTTGTTTATGCATGCACATTCCAGTCCACTCTCTTTCGCTGCCAGGTTACATTGAGGTCACGCAAACTGTTCTCATTATATTAACAATGGCTGGACTTTTTTGGGACAGACCTCATATATTCCAGAGTAAGTTTTAAAGAGGAAACATGCAAACATGTGTGATGAAAAATATACTGGGTGGGGTTACAGCAGATTAAGCACTGGAGAAGAGAAGATCAGTGTAATTCAAGGCAGTAACAGAAACGATCCAAAGAAAGAACAGAGAGCAAGAAGCCTAAAAAAAACCTTAAGTAGAGTACCATACTCTGTGGGACAGTATCAAGCACCTTATCTACAAGTAGATGGACTCCCAGAGAAAGAGGAGAAGAGGAGTAAAAAATGTTCACAGAGCCCATCCATTCACAGTCATTGGAGGAAGCTTGGAGAACTTCCAAGGGGCTTTTGGTGACCATGACCCATGTTGCACCTGCCAGACTTGTGATCTAGGGGGATGGCACAGCTGTCTCGGAGCAATTCCAGGCACCACCAGGCAGAAAATTTGAAGATAGATGCTCTAAAGCATAGGGGTCCTGGGGGGACATGATGCAGGACAGAGGCTGCACTCACCTCCAGTCTCAGGGTATGATTGCATCCACCCTCTTTCTTATCCCAGGGAAATATCTAAAGTTGTAGGTGGAAAATGGGAAAGCTTCCATCAGCGTGAAGGACAGAGCGCAGCGGCCCCTCCCCCAAGGCTCCCACTCCCACTCTGCTGCTGATGGCACAGGGTGAGAGAGGGAGATAAGCTTCTCTTGTGTTCTGTCAGTGAGATTTCAGGATGTATCTGTTACAGCAGCTACCTGATTATTTCCCTGATTAATCATTCCATCTCCTCCATGTTTTAATCACTTGTGAACTTGGATAACCTCCAGAATGGCTAGCATGGCTGTGGCGGTCCTGTTTTTGCACTCTTTTGGGTTGGTTCCATCAGTTTAGCACAGTGTGATTTTTATAGTTCAAGAATTTCACAACATTTCTAGTCTGCTGATGGCATGTTGTTCTCTTTTCTTTATATCATTCCTGTCATGGGATTTAGGGTGAGGTGAATAATTAGGCTTGTGTGCTTAATCCACCATCTTGGGTCAATCTTCCTCTCATTGTTTTACATGGTACCTCGGTACTCCTCCTTAATTCATTCCAGAGCTCACGATGAGTGCTGAAACCAAAGAGCCCCAAGCAAGCGAGCGCCGAGTCCTGAAACATTTTTTCCTTGATGAGTACAGGGTTTGACGAGTTCTGAAGCTGACAAGTACCAAGGTATGACTGTAATTTGCATTTTTTTGATTCCTAGTGAGACTGAATATTTTCCCATATGTTTGTTTACTAATCATTTCCTAATTTGTGAATTCACTGCTCATGTCCTTTGCTTCTTTATTTATTGCAATATTTATTTTTTAAAAGTTAAGAACTAGTGTTACGCTGCACTCAAGTTTATTGATTCCAAAACATGCCCTGTGCATGCCTGTTTCCTGGTCTTTAGTCATGTTGGCCCAGGCTCTGAGACATTCCCTCTCCTCTGTCCTATATTTGTTTAAATTGGGTCTTTCATGAAATTTTTAGAAAGACTTAGTTCAGCTACAAACCCAGTCTTCAGTTATTGTTCCTCCAATATTTATTTATAATGGCTAATATTTATTTTTGCTAGACTTTATTCTTAGCATTTTACATGTTATATTTAATCCTTAAAACATCCTTGTGCAGTGGGTGTAGTATAACATCCATTTTACAAATGAGGAGACTGAGGGTTATAGATGAGGTTCCATGACACGCCCAGAATCACACAGTTGAGGTGCGATGAAACAGGGGTTCAAGCCCATTCTGCCAGTTTACAAAGCCCCTCAAACCATGACATTCTCTTTATTCCTTGGAAGTCCTGTGGTCCCTTTGGCTGAGTCCATTGTGTGGAGCATACTTAGTCTCTGTATCATTATTTTTTTGCTATTATATATGTCTTATGTTTCCTATTCAGCTGTAAACCTTTTAAGGTTACATACTTTTGCCATATAAATGCTTTTTGTATCCCCAGTATAAATCTCAGTGCTAACAAATGATAGGCCCTAGATAAAGTTTGTTAAATGTATCAATTGCTTTGGATCTTTTTTATGTTAGTTAATTGCTTCCCTGATAGAATTTTTTTTTTTTTTGGCATGCAAAACCAAGAGGCATTTTTCTTTGTAATATAGCTCAGCTCCTGCCACAGATTAAGCATTGTCCCTCCTTGATCTCTCTCTTTTATGACAGGTTATTTAGAAGGTTTAAGTCATAGCCTCAGTGCTCCATAGAATTCCATTTGTAATTATGAAGAACTAATATACATGGAAATTTCTAGAAGTAGGCTTAATTTCTTTGGCCCTTTTGTAATCAGGTAAAACTTCCTAAATGAGCCTTGATTCTGTCTCATCACTTTTTCACAGATAAGAATTTCAAGTCTCTATAGATACCTTTGAAAATTGCAGGAATTTGCAATAAGGGCAAAGCAGCCCATCTTCAATAGAACTGTGACAGTGGTTTAGGTTACTGCCCTTCCATTCTTGGGCAGAGTTACTGAGTTCAATTGTGTCTCTCTCTCCAGCCATTGAATCTGTCTAAAGAAGAGGAAAAACCTCCGGTGCCATCAAGATGATGATAATCCTCAGCAATTTATATTCCATTCATTTTCTCCACATATTTTAGAATTATTCATTTCCCAGCATTCTGAAGTCCAGTTGTGCTGGAAGCTGAGATGCAGTCAGATTTTCTTCTTGCAAAGAGAACAAAATGAAGTTAAAGATATAGATCTGGATCCTGGCATCCCAACCTGAGATAATAGCACTTAAGGGCATTTATAATTTTCACAAAGAATGAAATAAAATTCTCATCACAAAATTTATTTTCATTTACTTATGAATAGAATTATAAACAATTTAGAGGAGGTGATTGTTATGAAATTAAACAAAACTAATGGTTTTAGATTCTTTAATCAATATTCAGGTTTAGAAAAATCTTTGCAGACTACTTACATCTTTATTGCTGACCTACAGAAGTTTGCGATGCAGAGCTTGCACTAGTTATAAATACATATAATTTTATTGATTCATATACACTACACCTACTGTCAGGAAGGGTCTGAGGTGATTTACAATAAAGGTACAAGAGTAATAACCTGAAACACAACTCATTGCAAGATAATTATATGAATTGTGACCATAAATGTGCATCTTGGTTAGGAATGTGTCTGGCTAAAATTCAAAGAAAATGTGACAGACAACAGTTTAAACAAGTAAGAAGTTAATTTTTCTGAAGCAAAGAGAAGGTATGGAGCCCAGGGTGGCCCATTAAGTCCACCAGTGACCCAGATTGCTTGCATGCCCCTGCCCTATTCTCCTTGGAGTGTGGCTTTGCTGTCATGACTGCAAGACGCTGTCTGCACCTCAGCTGTCTTGCCTGTGCTGAAGGCGGGGTGAAGGTCAGAGGCAAAGGCTGATGGGCACACCAGCAGAATTCATGCCTCTTCAATACCTTTCCTTCTGCGTAGATCTCATTTGCTAAAATTTGGTCGCAAGGCCAAAAGGGATGTATGTTAGGTGAATGTTTTTTAGCTGAGCACATTGGAAGATTGAATAAAAGAGGTTTGTTTTGTAAAGATAGAAGGGAAAAAAGAATATAAAAATATAACTAATGTTTGCCACAGTAACTGATTTTAAAGGCAGGCACATCTAAAATCTGTATGTCCAAGTAAGTGTTTTTAGAAAAATATTTAAAATGACCCAAGATAATAGTCATTCTGACAGGTGTGAGGTGATATCTTATTGTTGTTTTGATTTGCATTTCCCCGATGATTAGTGATGTTGAGCACCTTTTCATGTACCTGTTGGCTATTTATGTCTTCTGTGGAAACACTCTGCCCTGACTGGGTGGCTCCGTTTGTTGGGCATCGTCCCACAAAGCAAAATTTTGTGGGCTCGTTTCCCGGGTCAGGGCACATGCCTGGGTTTCAGGTTTGGGTCCCAGTTAGGGCATGGACAGGAGGCAACTGATGGATGTTTCTCAAATTGATGTTTCTCTCCTCTTTCTCCCTCCCTTCCCCTCTCTTTAAGAAGAAATAAGTTTAAAAAAAAAAAAACATAAATGACACTCTCACTTAATTCTGCCATACTTAAGAGTCCAAGAAACCCTTCTTGACTGTCCCTAACTGAAAGCAGCATTTGGAGGAAGGAGCTTGCTGCTCCTATGCAGAACCATGAAGGTCGAGAACAGTGCCAGACAGAAAGGTCAGCTTCAGAGCAGCAGAAGCCAGCATGTGATTTTTGTCACATGAAAGATGCTCATGGGTCCTTCTGGGGTAGCAGGGTCACTGAGTGTTCAAATGTCTGCTGCTATTTTGTCCTCCGAAGCCACTGCTTGCTATAAAGTATACTATAATGCACAACTTCATATAAATTTCTTGGGCACTTATCTGGTTATATAGCCTATGAGTATTCTTAGACTATATTCCTAGAAGTAGAATTGCAAGGTTGGACATTATAAAAATTTTTCAGCTGTTGACAAAGGCTGCCAAATAAACCTTTTGTTATGGATCCACACCCTCTTTCCCAGTAGTGGTATATAAAAGTTTTCCTTTACTTTTGTTATCAAGATATTATACTGTTTGATCATCACCACTCTCTTGTGAAACAAGTTTTTAGTACTTAAATGCATTTTATTTTATTATTAATGAAGATAAACATTTTTATATCTATTGACCAATAGTAGTATTTTATAACTACTGCTTTTTAAAAATTTTCCATCATTTTTTTTATTACTCTGAAAAGCTTTTATATATTAATAATTTAAGCCATTTTTCCACAGAAGTTTCATTCCCACAGTTTTCTGCTTATTTTAACTCAGTTTATGAAGTGTTTTGCTGTTGATTCACAGGTGTTTTAAATTCATAGGTAATTAAGTTTAGCAATCATTTTATTTATACTTTTACTTTCAGTGTAACGCTTACAAATTTCCACCTGCATTCTCTTCTGCCACGTTTATATTTTCCATTTTGTCTTTAAATATTTTAACCATGGCAATTTAACTTTGTTTCTAAATAACTGATTTTCCTCTTAGTAATGGCTCACATTTTCTTTCTCATATTGTAGTAATTTCTGCTTGTATATGAATGCAATGGTTGTCCAGATTTTTTTTCTTCCTTAAGACTGAGTTCTGTTAAGCAGATAGTTAATATTTTAGTGAATCAGCATGATTTTTCCCAGGTTTGTTTTTCAGCTTTGTTAGGGCAGGTCTAGACTAGTAGTTACTCTAGGGCTACGTTAGCCATACATTGAGTATAGACTTTCTGGAAGTCTCTACCAAATGCCCAGGGTATTCAACAAGGTCTTTTTACCATGACAGGTTGGAACTCAAATGTCTCCCAGGCCCATGCAGGCTTTGGTTGTTTTTCAGTTCTCAGCATCCTGGTAGTTGTTCCTTTCCTGATAGTTCTTCCTTCCCTGATAGTTCTTTATGGCCCATCCTCATGGAGTCTCATTTTGTACACACATAGGTGAGTATTTGGCCCAAGATTCAAGGGGATTCCTATGCAGATTTTGGAGCTCCTTTTCTGCATGTCTCCCTTTTCCCTGGTACCTTGTCCTGTGGATACTTGCCCAGCCACCTGCGTATCTGAGTGCTTCGATCTGCTTCCTCACTCAGCAAGACCACCATGCCTTGTGTGAGCTACGCTTCGTTCTTCAGTCTGAAAGTTTCACCAGGAAGAAAGCTGGGGTGGGCATGTAGTTCACCTCATTCGTTTCCCTTCCTCAGCGAACTTAGTTCTCTTTATCCCATTGCCCAATATCTGAAAACAGTTACTTCATAGTCATATATTAGGGAAGGACTAGTCCAGTAGCACTTACTCTCATGATGGCCAAAAGCATGTATTTGATAGGCATTATGGAGGGTCTGATTGGCTGCCCCATATCCATTTCCAATCCAATTTTCCCTTGTCTGCCTCCCAATTGTGGAGACTAAAAAAGTCAAATATTGGTTTAACCTACATCCTGTACAACTTGGAATGGTTGTGGACCTGGCCTAGCCAAGGATACAGAAGAGCGATTCTTTCGAGATTTCAGCAGACATTTGAACCCTGATAAAAAGGAGAGAAACGCTAAAGGAGAGCGCTCTCTCATTAGCCTGGCCTGCATTACCTCTAGTGTTTGGTATGTGCGCACTTGCTGATGGCCATCTCAGATCACGAGGTAACATGTCCAAGGACGAAACGCCAACCCACTGAGGATGGTGAAGAGGAAAAATAAAAAAGAGTCTGAGTACTTAAAAACGTCTGTAAGGTACTGAACCAGTCCTGAGACTGTCTCCCTTGGGGCTTCATAGTATGTAGAACTCAACGTCCTTGTGTTTTAAGTTTCTGTTAGTTTTGTTGTCTTGTTACTTAGAGCCAGACTACTCCTAAGTGATACAGAATTTAAATCTGTATTCCAAATGGTTGGGCAGTTACAAGACATTCTATTTTTAAAAGCTATTAAAACAACTACTTTCTCATATACAAAATTCTTATACACATTTTGGTCTCTTTGTGGACTTTCTATTCTATTCCATTGGTGTATCTGTGTAGGGCAAGCATTCCTACTGCCCTTAACTTATGCATTATGATATATCTTTTCAACTTTATAATACTCTTCTTAAGTCCAATTTTCTAGTAATTTGTAAAATGATTTAGCAGAACAGCTTTTTCTACTCTTTAAGGGTCATGAGTTCGGTAAAGATTGGGGGCAATGTAGACATTACCTCAAGGTTTTCTGGGAAGAAGATGAAAGCTGTTGGCATTTTGGAAGTTTCTTTAAAATGCAACAATGTTGTATGTAGACAATTTCAAGTACAGTGCAATTTTAAGAAAAACAAAGCAAAGGAAAAATTTACTTCAAAGTCATAATTAGCTGCTTTCTTTATGGGTTGGAAAAAAATGTGATTTGAAAGTTGAGCTCAACAACACCAAAAGCATTAACAAATAGGGAAATTGGTCATGCAGTAGTAAGAAAGTATAATGCCCTTGTTCTCTTTCTGCTTAAGTGATAAGCAATTTGTTTGCTTCCTGAGACTTGTGATGTGACAGGAACTGAGAAAAGCAGTCCCTTTAGTTTGCTAACTGAAGATGTCAGTGGGGAGGATGTTTTGCTTGACAGTTGATTAAGGGTTAAGTAGACTGAAAATATTGGTAATTTTTGCTGCTTTTTCATGTATTGTAATAGCAAGTATCTATACTTTTTCTTCTGCCTGTTCTAAAGGCTAAATTTGAACAATTATCTGTGTAAGAAAAACTAATTTTGAATGGTAGAAAGGCACTAGGATTTGCAACCACTTGCTCTTTGAACAATAAGATTCTCATCTGAAAATTGACTAATGTGATTAAGTCTTGAAAGATGCCTTTAAAGATCTGGTAGAACTAAATAATACAGATTTGAAAAAATAATATTGAATATACAGTTTTCCAGCTTACTCTTAATTATTCAACAAAACATTGCTAATCCTTCCTGGGTCACTTAGTTTATGTATTTATTGATTAGCATTTATTGAGTGGCTACTGTGTGCCAGGCACTGTTCTAGATGCTGGAGGTATAGGACTGAACAAAGCAGATGAAAAGCTCAGTCCTTATGGATATATTTTATTGAGGAGAAATAGCCAATACACAAATAAACAAGAAAACAGCATGTCAGATGGTGATATTTTATGAAGAAGAATAAGTCAGTGTAGGGGGAATAGAGAAATGGCATGGGGATACTGAAAGTTGATGTTTAATTAAGGACCAAAAGAAAATGAAGAAATAAGAGAGTGAGCTCCCTGGAGAATGACTGTTGAAGGAGAGATAAGAGCATGTGCAAAGGCCCTGAGGTGGGAGCACGTTTGGCATATCTCAGGGACATCAAGGTGGCAAGTGGAGATGAGTGGAGGAGGCCACAGGGAGAGTGCTGGGGATGAGGCCAAGCAATAGCTAGAGGCAAGGCCATGGAGGGTCTTAGAGAACATGGTAAGGAATTCAGCTTTCCTTCTGAGTGAGATGGAAAACCTTTGGAGAATTTTAAGATGAGAAATGATATAACCTACATGTTGTAGCATTATAACTTGGACTGCTCTACTGAAAATAGTCTGGGAGGGAGAAGGATTAAAGCATGGAGGCCAGTT